CAGAATTCCTTCCACTGTCCCCACCTTTCCTTCATTATCTTACCTCTACTCAAAACATACGCCCATTCCAGACTGTGTGCCTCCAAGCTTCTATTAGAACCTAATGCAAAAGACCCCGGATAGATACAGCACCTGCCTAACTCGGGAAAGAGAAAAAGCACCCAAGAGGCAGCAGTCAGCTCCACCTGACTGTGAGCCTGACCATGAGGTTGAGGTGAGCCTGGGGCAGAGCCGGAGCACACTTAGAATTTAGTCATAAGCAGCAGATGGCGGGAGGGTGGGTGGTGGGTGGGTGGGAGGCAGGGCGCTCAATGGTTAGCGTCATCTGTCATCTCTCACTGCTGTCCAGTTGACTCGACTCAGAGCAATCCCTCCTTGGGTTTCTGAGGCAAGTATCACATTGGAAGTAAACTGCCCAATCTTCCTTCCGAGGAGTGGCTGGTGGGTTTGAACCGCCAGCCTTCTGGTTAGCAGTCAAAAGCCTTAGGTAATATACCATAACGCCTACCTTATATTCTTTTTCTATCCTGTCACTGATTTTTTATTTTTTCAAACATTCTTTTGAATTTTCTTTCTTGACCAACCTTGACCTCAACAAATGAACTCCGAGAAGCCTGAACCAGGGGAAATAAACCACACATATCTGTCAGGAATATATGTGCTGCTCAGGCAATGACCCTATTGACAGACCCCACACGATGAGCAAGAAGGGCCCAAGAAAGGAAATCTATAGATACACAAGAAAAACAAAAGTTAGATAAGGCAGCCTCCTCCTCCTGCATTTACAACTGCTCTCTCCTCCACAGGCGGGGAACAGGTAATGAGGACGCCATCAATAGAGCTGTCGGAGAAATTGAATATATACAAATCAGCAGGGTGATATGGATCCCCCGGACTTGCAAGAGAATTAGTTAATGAACTTACCAAATTACTGGCCATTATTTTTGAAATGTTATGAAGAGAAAGAAAGAAAGAAAATTAGGTAGATAAGCTTAAAAAAAAAAAAAAAATGGTCTGTTCACTAAGACAAGCTCAATTTAGATCCTAGTGTAACTGCCCCCAGTAAACACACACACACTCACATTTACGCACAAACTAAGATGCAGAAAACAAGGCTCACTTGCCACAGACCAGGCTCACTGTTAGATCTGTCTTTACCGAGCACACAGCAGCCAGCACCCAGGTCAGAGTGCCCGAAGGCCTTGGGCTTCTTCCTGACATCCTGTCTTTCTCTGCGGCCCGTGCAGTTCTGCTGAGACACAGTACCCCATTTGTAGGTCTGGCCCAGGAGAGGCAGGGCTTGGCATGAACACATCACATATACAGAGGGACTGCTCATCCGGAGGAGTGGCACCACGGTTTACAACTAAATAACACTGGGATGAAGGCTGAGCCTCCAACTCAGCACCCTTCTGACCAGAGGCTCAGCGGGAAAGAGGCAGCATTCCTGGAGAGCTCTGAGCCATGCGTGTGGAGAGCAAGAAAACCACCTCATAAAGGAAGTGAAGCTGCAGCTCTGCTACCAAACTGGTTGGAGCTGGCTGCCCATGTCTTCTGCTGGCACACAGGGGCTAGGAGAGCCTGGGGATGTTCAACAAAGGATCTTGGCTAGTGACTGCAGAAAGAAAACGCTAGACACCAAAATCAAAGGATAGAGCAGCCAGAGAAACTCAAACCTAAACAAGGCAAGGAAAACCCACCAGGAGGGTGCCAGGACAGAGGCCTTTAAAGTAGCAAGAGTGTGGCAACCAGAGGGGAGAGTGGAGAGCAGATCTTACACAATCCAGAAGCCAGGAGAGAGATGGGGGCCAGGCCGGGAGACGGCTGTGCCACTGGCCACTGATCCACCATCTTTCACTGCAGCATCTCACAGCACACCACAGGCTGCAGCTCTCTAATCCTCCCAGAAGAGGATGCTGATTTGAAAGGTTCCCTGGGGAGCAAGAAATAAACCCCTGGATCAACCTCCAGGGCCAATCTCCTTGCTGCTTCTCAGTGTCCTTTGTTACAAATGCTCCAGCTTAGGCAAGTGAGGAAAAGTGGACAAGGGCCCGAAAACAGCTACAGCAACACGTCCCCAGAACCTTAAAATTATTTAGGTAAAAACTTGTTCTCTTTACTCTTAAAAGTATATAGTAAGAAAAACAGTAATTAAAATAAAGTAAAATAAATACACAAAACAAGCAACATTATTCCCAACAGCAGAAATTCACAAAACAATCTAAATGTCCAACAGCAGGGATTTGGGAGTGATGGATGATGCATGCCCAGGATGGCATTTTAAATTAGCAATTAAATTATTTTAATGACATCTGTAAAAGCACAGAAATCATCTTTTACTATAACGTCAATACGAAAAGCGGAGTGCCAGGTACCATGGGTTCTCACAGGAAAGGGCTATGTGTCCGTATGCCCGTGTATTTTGTTTTCAGAAGGGTAAGTAAAAAATTTCAAATAGTCCGAAAGCAAAAACCAAGCCGTCCCCTCCAACTGCTCCTGGCTCCTCTCCAGGAGAGAAGCACTCATGTATCTGGTACAATTGGACCTGGATATGGAAGAATAGGAGAACCTATGTTAATGAGATATAGCTTAACATAGCTTCTCCTGCCTAAGGCATTTGACTGCTAACCAGAAGGCCGGTGGTTCAAACCCACCAGCCACTCCTCGGAAGGAAGGCTGGGCAACCTACTTCCATGGAGATACTGCCTCGGAAACCCAAGGAGGGGTTGCTATGAGTCGGGTCAGACTCTACGGCACATAACAACAACAGCAACGTTAACGAGAAGTGGCTATTGCCAGGCGCCAGGATTGCAGCCGGGTCTTCTTTTCCTTTCTTCTACTTTTCTAACTACTTTCGTGTAATTAACTTTTAAAGTAAAAATAAATGAAGACAAGAAGCCTGCCTCCATTATCTTCTCCATCCTGAAGGGAGGGGTCATCCCAGCTCCTGCATCTCATGAGAACCTGAGCGGGGTGGATGCTGTGACCAGCTCAGTGCCTCACTGTCCTGGTGGCACAGATCATCCAGGTCCATGCTTTATGAGGGTCTAGTGTGAAGGAATCAGCTGGGCAAAAATAAAATAAGCCAACTCCACACAAAAGGGGACTGCTTCAGTCAACATCGAAAAAGGCTCCGCATCGGGACTCTCGGTGACGGCTCCAGACTCATTTCACAATCAGCACTAGCTCCCAAAATGTAAAGTATTCGTTTTATTAAAATGCAAATCAATCAACTAATCTGTCTTTCTAGTAACAGTTGAATTGCAGTATCCGTGTCAATTAAAAGAGTTTCCAATTTATTCTTGGCTGGAAGGAGGGTGGTCTTCTGAATTTTAAAACATAAGCCCCCCTTACTGAAAATTCTGGCATTCGTTCTTTCTGATCTCCTGTTTTTAATTCATTTTAATTAAACATGCTGGACTCCAAATATTTTGAAGTACCTGTTTAAATCTTTTTCTTTTTCATCAAAGACTGACTCTGACCCAGTCTCTCTCTCTTTGGGAACATGGGTTACAGCAGACTCAGGGGTTAGCATCAGACTCACAGGAAGTTCACTAGTAAGAGCTTACTCGCCATTCTACTGTGTGTCATCTGGACCCCTCAGGCTAAAGGAACAGGCCTGGACGGTCTAAATTTTGAGAAGTGATCATTGTGATAGAAGAGCGAATGGGAGGTCTCTCTTCTTTCTGTTGGTTGATTTTTTTGGTAACTGGAGACACAATGGAAGTTAAAAATGTCCCTGACAGTCAAGCTCAAGAGCTAACTACTGGGACAGGAATAACAAATCACCATGTACCAAGGGCCAATTAATTTGGGATGGAAACCCCCTCCTCCCTCTACGTGCCCCATCCTGAGCTCAGCAGACACATTTCTGTTAAAACTAGACTATGGTGCTGATCACATCCAGGACCACTTCCTGTGGAGCCCAAGCTGCAGGCCCTGTAGTGATCCTCAAGCCAGTGACACAGAACCAATGACGTGGAGGGTTCCTGGGCACAAACCCTATCACTCTATGTTGGCATTTTAAAACAATGATCAAAACCCAACTTTAAAAATAATGGCTGGCTATTAATGACAACCACACTTAGATGCCTGGATTCAGCATTTCTTCTCCGATTCCATAGTGCTAATAAAGTTTTGGGCACAGGAGTGCCAAGGCAGTCAGCTCCGTGAGCTAGCCCACCCTATACCCACTTCACTTATGCAAGATCATCTTCACTGCATATTGACCACCACAGACCAATGAATTCCCGATGAAGATTTAATTCCCAGCTTTTGACCTGTGGATGAAAAACAAATGATGAAAACATTTCCTCCTGCTGGATTTATATCCAAGTTCATCTCAATAAAGTGGTTTAGGAATGGTGAGAACGGAATAGGGCTCTGGAAGACTTCTGCATGGGGGTACAGAGGTAACAAAAAGTCAGAGACCTGTATTTAGCGATAAACAGGCAAATATCTCCAAGTTACAAAGCTTCTTGAGCACAGCACAGAGGTTTCTTGAGACTTCCTGCTCCTTGGAGCCATGAGAAATCACTGAATGTTATCCACCCACAGAGTGGCATCCTGCCCAATTATCACTCCTTCCATGAAACTGCATCTGGTATGAAAAGACCGTCTGGCTAGAAAAAAAGAAAAACCCTCCCAACAAACCTGTCAGCTTGTGAGAGCCCGAATCAGACCTACTAAGTGCCAGGCTGTGCTGGGCACCCCACGCTGCTGAAGAAACCAGTCATCGGCGGCAGTGGCAGCAGCAGCAATACTTTTTATTTGTGATGAGTAAGGGACACGGGGAGTCGCTCTCTTGCCCACTAGTAAGCATGGAGACACAGAAGCCTGGCTGCAGGCTGCCTGGCCTTGATCAGCACACGTTCTGAACAGAGCATCTTCCCAGGGGTCATCCCTAACGCTCAGCCCTGTGAGTCAGGGGGTACCTCCAACCTGGCCGAGGTGCCCTGGGAATGGAGGCCCTGCTCTGAGGCCTCAAGGCAGCAAGAGACGTGTGACTTCAGTCCCTGTGGTTGTCACCAGGAGGGTTGAGTTTGCCAAAAAGAGATCGATACAGCTCTGTCCTGAAAAACAAACAAAATGAACTGGTTAACACATTGGTTAACTTTCTAAGGTTTAAAAGAAAGTAAGAAGCTGGGAAATACCATAATCTGTTTCTTCAATGGGAAACACAGTGGTATAATTAAAAATGTATCCCACAGAGCTTCTTCACAAATAGGAAGGAAAGAACAAACCCAGAGAAGACAATGCAGTCCAGCATGGAGACATGTAAACCGCCCAGGGCAGCTGAATACACTGTCTCCAGGGAACAGGAAGTCTCCAAGTTTGCCCTTTACAGACAGGCCCTTCAAGTAAGAAAACAAGATGGAATATTTTAATAGGATGTATGAGATTGCCATGAGATGAGGAGGATTCAATCAGACATGGGATGGAGGAGCATCTAATTTAGTTTTCATACATTTCCTTGGACTTCACAGTACTTGAAAAACAATGAAAATGACCCAGCAACAAGATTCCAATTAAGACCACATGTGCAGCTGGGCAGTAGAACTGCCGCTCTTTCCCACTCCCCGCCCTTGTGTCCATTTTCAATCTACTGGATAATTTGTTTGGCTAATTTATTTCTAAAGTTGGGTTCTGACATTAAAAAAAAAAAAAAAAGTCCTAACATGCCAGGGTCTTGGGTCTCTGAAAATAAAGTAAACCGCTCCCAGCCTTTGCTGCTGCTATTAAAACCAACATATCCACCCACATCTGGCCAGAGCCATCTGCCAAGGCCCAAGAAATTCTGAAAGTGGGCGAGATGGGGTGGGGGATTCTGCCCATCACTGAGGCAGAAGCTCCAGCTCCAGACCACGCTCCCTTGTGGGTAAGGGCAGAGGAGCCAAGAGACCCCAGAAAGATTCAACCCACGTGAGAGCATCTACCAGGACGGGGGTGGCCACTGAGGACACAGCCAATGGGGCAGCCGACCGATGTGTCACTATGCAGAGGTCCTGGGTGGGGGCACCCACAGGGTGAAGATAAGGGACCAGGGAGTAGATTAAAGCACTCCCGGTGAAAGCTGAACCTGCCCTGTTTCATATTTTCAAGATCTAACCACAAAATAGAGCCTGGCACCCTTGTTAAGAAAGCAGGCTTTTAAAACAAACACTCATTATCCAAGTGGGAACCCCATCAAATATAATCCCCCCCAAAAAAAAGCAAAACACCAACTACCCTTCCAACAACTACTGTGGTTCAGTAAGATGTCAACACAAAAATTTCCCAGGTTGTCTCTTGTTTTAAATCACCCTCCTCATAGTTGTGGGTAGGAATAGTGGTACTATAGTTTAAAAAACGAGCGACAGGAAGAGCTTATCAAAACTTACAAGAAATAAAAATCTTAAGCAGCAGCAACTCAGGAGCTAAGAATGCAAACTAAGCTCATGCAGAGGACCACAGGCGGGCAGGGGAAAAAATACAGAAGCCAGGAACCAATGGGTCTCCACATCTCTCTGCAGGCATTAACCGCAGGCTTCACTAGCACTTCACTCTACACCACCAACCAGGCCAGCGCTCCAGGCCCACGGACAAAGGAGGCAGGTTCTGAGCTGTCTGTCTCCTTTGTTCCTGTCTATACGCATCTGTGGGCCTCACCCTCCACCAGCCGCAGACAAGCCACACAGGTGGAAGGCAGCCTCGGCACATATGCAAATGAGTGGCAGGCCCTACTGCCGAGGCAGCTGCTTCAAACCAGCAGTTCCATCACATGAAAGTCAACAGGGCTCTGTACTCCTCTCGCTCGGGCCTGCCTATTTGCCAATAAAGATAAGTCTCTCTAGTCACTTTTGACAAAAAAAATTCAGTGGCAGTAAGGGGAAAGTCACCATGATAAAAAAGACAGTATGACTTTAAGACTCCACTGTGGGATGAGAAGGAAATGCAGGCACCAGGCTATTTACCCCTCCACAATCACAGCCTTCCTCACAGCCTTCCGACCTGACCTCGCCTTGCTTGTCTGCACCAGATCCCATCATTACCACTGAGCAAATGCTTCCAGTCGGCACCACAGTATCAGGGAAAGGCCCGGGCCCAGGGCAGCAGTTACTGTCCGCAGCAGGGTTCACATGTCAGGAGCAGGAAGTGAAATGCTGAAACCCGAGTTTTGAAAGAACATCATTTCACACTCAGGTGGGCAAAGCTGACAAACATATGCGGCTGTTCGCAGCAAAGCAACTTGGAAATCTAAGTGGTCAGGGTGCTTCAATTTTTTTTTGAACGAGAGAAGAAGAATATGAATAAGGGATTATCCCAATCTAAAAACATCCCCAAGTTATTTCAACTCTTCCATCATCCTCACCCACTCCCACCAATCAGTGACCATGCTCATCCCCCAGCAACTGGATCTGGACTCGCCCCTTCTCTAGGCCTCCGTGATTTCAGAGCTTAACATCGTCGCTCACCTGGAATATGGCTATAGCCCCCTTACAAATTTTTCTGCTCCCTTCTCTTCTCCCTACTCTCTCCATCCTGTCGGCCCCCACACCAGAAGTAAACCAAGCTGATCCTTGCTGCGGTCAAGAGGCATCACCAGGATAAAGACCCTCCCAGGCCCCGAGTCCCTGGCTGGGCCTCAGGCCTTCACTGTCCTTCCAGAGGCTCCAGGGTAGGCTGGACTTCAGCCCCAGAGACTGCTGCAGAGGCTGAGGAACAAGGGCCACAGGGTGGAGTCCAGGGCAGATTCTCCAGTCTCTGCTTACACACCCTCTGAAAGCACTGTATGAAACCACGCTGCCGCCCACGAATGTTTAAGTTGATATAAAAGTTTTAAATGTAAATAGTCACAGAGCATATAATCACCGAAATGCTGTGAATATTCACTTTTACAATAAAACGTACAACCCTCCTGTCTACACCCAAGGTGTCCGCAGGCCACACTGAGCTGATGCTCACCATCGTTCGTTTAGATGACATGTGAGCAAGCTCTTTAAGGGCTAGAAACTGTACATCTTTTTCTTCTTAAATTTGTATTTCCATTTGGCTTTTTCCTACAGAATTTTGTCCTAATATAATGCTTGAAACTCTTGTACTGATCCTCCCATCATACTTCTTGACCGCAAAAAGAAGTATGTGATGCCAGAAATACTTTCTGAAATTTAAAAAAATCGAAATAAAAATTTTAATTTCTTGAAACCATTAGGCTCTAAGTGATAAAACAAAAAAAAATTTATTCTGGATTGAGTTATCATTACAATTATCATCAGAATAAAATAGATACATATAATAACAACATAATACAATGTATTATAATTTTAGTCAAAATTATATATAAAATTTTATACAAAATTATATATAAAATTTTATATAAAAATATATAAAAATGTTATGGAAATGCATCTCTTACTGAAAGAAATGACTTTCCCCTCCTTTTGTTTATACAGCCACAGATGAGTATTACTTTCGAAAGAAAGTTTGATTATTCTATTCTCATTTCTTGTTTTTTGTAGAGATGCGCGCTGAGAAACCTTGCTCTTGCTATTCTGTTGAAAATAAAGATCCAGAAATCATTTGACCCAAAAGAGGTTTGTGATCTACTCCTTAGTCATTTCCTTTCTCAATTCCTGCATCACTATTTCCGACCGTGTTTGGTTAGCGCCCCGAGATTTCCCACCCCAGGCCAATGTCCCACAGCAGGCCGAGAGTGGGTGTAGGACCGCTAACAGGAGCACCTGCGTCCCCAGGAAAGAGCACAGACCCTGAAATGAATTCCTTAAGATATCTGTGTCTACACTTTATCCTTGGAAAGTCCTGGAGCACCCCATATGAAGATCAAGGTGTAAGAAGTACTGAGCTTTCCCCTCAAACCCAGACGAGCGCTAGATCTGGTGCTAACACTTTGGGAAAGTCAAAGCATCTGAGAAGAAACAAAACACGTCCACTCCCTTACCTCAAGACCCAAAAAACAACAGAAACCCCAAACCAGATAACAGAAAGCCACCACAGGCCGGAGTCGGCCACCTCCCACCACGTGGAGCACTTTCCCCTGTAGAGAAGCTGAACTATATCAATCCTTCAGGTTAACCTCATCTCCATCTGATTCTCCAGGTTAAGTGCAGAATTTAATCCTTGAGGGCCCCTTAAGGCTATGCATAATAAACTTTTCTTTAAAAAAAAAAATACAAATTCCTCCCCTCTATCGCATTAAGAATCAAAATTTGAGTCACTGAGCTGCAGTGCTCCCCAACCCTTGTTACCCATCCCCTACTCTTGGTTTCAATGGCCAGTGGGAATGCCTGCTGTAGAAAACTCTGTAGGAGAACAACCTACAGAGTAATTAACAGGACGTGGACCTGAGGTAGAAGGTCGATAGCAGGGGCTCTTCCTTGAATTAAAATTTAACTTACCCTTTATTACAACCTACAAAAGCAAGTAATGAGCACTAACATTTTTATTTCTTTTAAACTGTCATTTAGGCTGTAGAGGGGATAATTACCTATCTTTACTGTAGTAAGGTTTTATAACCCTTAGTGAGGCATTTTCTAATTTAATATTTTTACTATATTATCATAAAACCTGTTTCTGGAAAAAAATGATCATGGATTAGCAGCAATTTTCCATAAAGACAGAATGTATGTGTGTGTGTCCAAGGATCCAGCTTATTTATCACATGATTCTTCAGCAGAGACTTAAAGAGCACCCAGTCTAGATAGCTATGAAGCCCATCACTTTAGTGTGAGTGAGGTTTCAAATGTCTCTAAAATGAAATGGGGGTGTGCGAGTATAATAGTGCAGCCCACAGATGTGTGTATCCAAAGACGCATTCCCTCAGTTTCACACGTGTACTCTTCACTGGGCTACAACACACACCACTGTCTTTCATGATGTCATTTGGGCAAACAGTGCAAAGGAGCATATTACACCTGCAAATGATCTGTGAGGGGCTTTCAATCTGCTAAATTGGTAGCTTGCAGCATCGGGACATTGAAGGAATCGTACCCTCTGCTCTGCAGAACCCCACACTCCTCTGACTCTGGCCCAGAAACCCCCAAGCCTCCCAAACATCCGCCGTGCAGGCACCTAC